TGTCTTCTTTGAAGAAGGCCTTTGACCAAAACTTGGGGTCTGTGTTCGTGATGACAGAGATTGCACTTGGTTTAATGCACTCTAGCTCAACTAATGCCTTATTGAAATGAGATTCAGTGTTAGCCTTAACACACCTGCAGAATGCTATCTTCAATTGCTTTCCCCCATTAGTCTTTCGAAAGTTGGCATACTTGTGTCTAGCACATGTTCTATGCTCAACATTTGGAAATAAATCTTCAATTGCATGAACCAATCCTTAAAATCACATGTTCACAATGTGTAAATATATTTAACAAATAATTGAAACAACTGCCCAACTGACTCCCTAAAGTTTAAAGTTAAGGGACCAATTTGGGGCAATGAATGGAAGTTCAATTATAGAGAACCAGAATGAGTGATTATACCTTCTGTTGGTCAAAAATAAAAGTGCAATGCCTTTCACTACCAATTATCATGTCTTTCTGCAACTCTTCAAGGAACCAGGTCCAAGTCTCTGTCGCCTCACTTTCCACAACTACCCATGCAAGCGGATACATCTAGTCATTTGCATCCCTAGAAACAGCAATCAACAATACTCCTTTGTGTGCTCCTTTCACACAAAGGAGTATGCACCATCAACCCCAATAACACGCCTGCAACCAGCTACAAAACCCAACTTCATTGCAAAAAAACAGATATACATCCTTAAGAAAACAGGATTTAAATCTGTTGTTGGTCTTGATGCCTCAATAATGATGGTGGTAGCAGGGTCTGTCAATTTGAGCTCTGCAGCATAATCCCATAACTTGCCATACTCCATCTTGCAATCCCCCTCAAATACCTTCGCAATCTTCTCCTTGACCTTCTTCAGTTGATGGTGAGTTAACTCAACACTCAACTCTTTCCTAATGAACTTAAAAATGTCATTTCGCTTCAAGTATAAGGCAGTAAACCCTCTTTGCCTCACCAAGTACTTAGCAACCACTATTGAGCTACATCGCTTGTTGTTCTTTAACCGCCAGGTGCATGTATGCTCAGACACAAATGTCTTCACCATCCAAGATTCTGTTGGTTTGTCCATTGCTAAAAGAATTTGCCATGGACAATCTAGTGCCTTCACACATGCTGCCCTACATCTTAACTTGTCACTTTTTCTCCATTTTATATCTCTTCTATCCTTGAGGTTCCATTTATCAACAATAGCCCTAAATTGTTGCTTGCTGGCAAAAATCATCCCTAGTTTAATGTCAAGAGTCCCGTCATCTCCTAGATCTTGGTAAACCCTATGTGTAACTTGTCTCCTTTTACCATTTTCAACTTCACTCCCTTCCTCATTCGATGTTGAGATATAGCTATCTTCTTCATCACTCCCTATCTCATCATCTTCATTTAAATGTTGTGTACTAGGTCCAGTAGTATTAGAGCCTGCCACACAATATATATTCTCCATTAAATAAAGTCACTAAGTCAAAAATTTAATAATTCATTCAAGTTACTTAAAAAAAAAAAAAAAGATACCTGCAGTATGTGCATGAGAATATTTACATCTACTGTTGGTGGTTCTAGCTCTTTCTCAACACTCTCCTGTATGTTGTTGAAAAACCTTGCCTTTTTTCTAGCTTGCTACATCTCTTCATCATTATTGTCTGTTAACTCAAAAACATCAATAATATGATCTTCCTCACCATCATCAGATTCAACATTGGCACCTTCATTATTGAAATTACCATCATCACTTATAGCAACCCCATCATGGGCTCAACACCAACCCTTTCCTCATTAACATTAGCAGCAACCCCATCCAAAGTTTCACCACCAGCACTTTCCTCAGTAACATTAGGTTGGAAATTGTCACCTACATTATCATTTTCCTCCCTCTGATCATCCCCAGGAGCTGGTAAAGGAAGCACTAGTTCTACAAATGCAAAGTTGGGGACATGAAGTACACAAATGTGGATAACATTAACAACCTTTATAATTTCCAACACCTCTCTCACAGAATCATCATTAACAATTTGCACTAAGCCATCTTCTAAAGTTCTTTCCAGTTGCAAATACCATATCTCATCTACCATATCAGGATCACACCTACAAAGTTCAACCTTTCTATAAAACTCCCACACTGTTATTTTATCAGGGTTTACATAAAACACATTGCACTTCCCATCAACATATTTAAGGCCATCATCCTGCATTAACCTACCACCAACGTGCACAAACATTTTGGCAGTGTTGTATGACTTCTGCCTTCTCTATTCAAAAAAAGAAAAAAACTCAATAAAGATAGTCGAACAACCAATTTGCCACGCAATTATATTTTATATAGTTAAACTAAGAAAACAAACAAATAACTATTGTAATCACCCTAACCCATATAAAAACAAAGATAACAAGTGAGGACCCATTGTCCTTTTCGCTACCAAATCGAGAGACATACATATACTAAAAAATCACCCAACACCTTCACACATCTCAAAATAGAATATTGCATAGAAAAGTCCGAGTACCTCATCCCTACTAAGCTCTAGCTCCCCATCGACATCTATGATGTTAGGAGACTCTATTGTTCTTTGATTTGAAGATTTGAAAGTGAAAGATCATAAATTTTCCAGCAAAAAGAGGAAAGAAAAAGGGGAATCTTGGCTTTTCTGCAATGAGGGCTTGAAATGGAAGGGCTCTGTTGTTCTAGAGTTCGAATGGGAAGAAAAGGGAGAAGTGTTCAGTTTATGTAGGTGGTGGGCCCCACTTTTTTTTTTTTTTGGTTTGGTTCTGGGCGGGAATGAGACATGTCATACTGCACGTCATCTGTTTTTCCAAGTGTGCATTTGACGTGTCACACTATTTGGACATGTCATTGTGGTCCCGTTAATTAACAGGACACGTCACTAGTGTTTTAACGAAAGGACCAAGTTACGATCAAAATGGTAAATAGTTGGACCAAATCAGGGATTTATTGAGTTAAGGGACCAAATCAAGGGTTCGTATCATAGTTGAGGGACTGAAATGGGGGTTTAACAAAAAAAATCAACAAAAAAATCAACAAAAAATCAAAACCTAGGACCACATGTGGGACATTGTAACCCTAAACTTAAATATTATTAAATACACACAACAACCACACAACAACCAAATAACACTCCATTACTATTTAAAAATAAAAAGTAAAGGTGATAATAAAGTAGAAAACCCAAACTTTTTCAGAGTAGAGCTTCATTCTATAAAAATAAGTTAAAAATAAAAAAGAACTGTGGAAAAATACCTCATAAACTGCAGAGACAAGCCTTCTTGAGATTCTTCCCCCTTGAGATTCTCCAAATGTTGCTGCACTTGACAGAATCTGCTTTCTTTGTCCTTTGACCTTCTTCACTTCTATGTCCTTTGCTTCTCTACTTAATAAATCCATGATTTTTCCTTGTTAATTGAATGAAGATTGAGTGGTAAACCCAGGTGGAGTAAAAATGGTCCACATTAGTGCCCAATCAACTCCCAATCAATGCTAACTCATCAGGCTTTAACGGGCAATGGATGGGTCTAACGGTGGGATGATGTCATTCTCACTAAAAGGGTTGTTTTGCAGATAACATGAAGTATAGGGGTTGATTTGTCATAATTT